AGCAAGTTAAAAATGTTCTTATACAAAATAACTAGCAGAAGGTGGTACTCTTATACAAAAATTTTAATAAAAGCTATAGATGCAGACATATGCTGATTTTATAACTAATTTTAACATCAATTGGACATAATTCAAAGACGTATTGACATGTCAAAAAGTCATAACTAACGTTTGTCGTAATATTTGACTTGTATCATAGTATTTGATATATGCTATAGTATTTGACGTATGTTATAGCATTTGATATATATCGTAATATTGATGTGTGTTATAATATTGATGTATATTATAATATTTAACTGTGCTGTAATATTTGACATGTATTGTAACATTAGATGTATGCTGAAAATTTTGATATATTTATAATCATAATATTTAATAATATATGCTATTATATTTGTAAAATCGAGAACAATCCAATTTTCTAAAATTATCGTTATGAAAAAAAATTTCTTTATTTAAGCTTATTGTAGCTAAAATTACTGAATTTATAGTATATTATATGACATGTGTAATTCATATTTTTAATACACAAAGTTAACCAATTATTATAAAATTGATTATATGTTAATGTTTAGGAATTAGCAAAAGTGTTCAAGCAAAAAAGCTTATTGGCTTTACAATTTGCCAAAATATTTTAATTCAAAGATATATTGTTTGAATTAATTTCTCACATCTTAGTAAACTACGGTTTTTCAATAAAAATGCTATCTGATTCTATTTCTAATGATTTTGCAAGCAATTCTTCATAACTATTGATTATTCAAGATCAAATTTACTAAAATATCAAATTCGAATCTTGGGAGTTTCAGAATTAATAATTCGGTATCTAATTTTAAATAATTGATGTAATTATTTCAAAATAAGTAATTTGTAAATATTATTGTTTTAAATTATATACTTGTTTACATAGGATCATGTTAATTTAATTTCTTGAGTTCATAACATGAAAATTTTAAACAGATCTGGCTACCTAGTTTTTTTTTTTTAATTTCATAAAAAAAATTTTTTCAAAGCTTTTAAAAGTTAGCCCTGGTCAGGTTATGAAAATTAATTACAGCTGTTCTCATAAATTCTGAAACAACTAATAAAAAATTAATTGGCCGAATTTGATAAGATTTGAATTTGGTGCTATCAGAATTTGATTTTTAGCATTACAGTAATTTAATAACACCAAATTCAAAAACTTATCGAATTTGATTAATTTTTTATCAATTGTCCTAGAATTTATGAGAACAGCTATAATTTTGTGTGGCTAATTACTTATCGGTAAATATTTTCATTGGGTATGTCTTATTAAATAGAAAATATGATTATTAATTGTTTTCACCGAGTATGTCTAATTAAACAAAAAATATGATTGTTAATTAAAATAAAGTAATTCTAAATTTACATTATAGAAATAAAAAAATAGTACAATTATTTTAATTCTCTAAATTATTTAAAATCATATCAACAAGACTTTCAGGATTAAAATCTATATTAGTATTGCTTTCACTATTATTATTACTTGTATCACTTAGAATATTAAGTAAAGCTTTACATAATACGAAATCTCTATCCTGAAAGATTAGGTTTTTTAAATTTATAGTTTTCTCTAAAATTAAATTGGCTCAGGTTAACAAATCATCATCATATGTATTATTATTTTTATTTTCATTCTTCTCACCTTTCTCATCTTCAATAAAATTATTAATTGAAGTGAGATTTACCATCTCACGCAATTCATATTCAGACATTTCAGCACCAAAACAATTAAGCTCTTTCCGAATGTTTGTCATATAATATGACCAGATTTTTGCTATTTCTTCAAATCTTTGAATATCAAGGCGTGTCCTTTTATCACCGATAAACCATTTTAAAGTTGAAAAGTTTCTCTCGCAATTCGTCTGAGATGGTGTAATACTAAAGAGTTTCTGTGCAAGTTCCGAAAGATGGCGATTTTTTATGGATCCCCATTATAGCATTGGAATATCAAGACTTTGTATATAAGGTAAATTGAATAGTCTTTTTTTTGTGTCAAAATACTGAAACTCTGATATTAATTCTTGGCATTCTTGTTCAGAATGCAAAAAATTTTTTCAAATAGTTGAGGCAGTTATTGCTGCATCACAGAATGCTTCAATCTTAAGCCCTTTTTCTAAAAAAAAATTAAAATTAAAAATAAAATAAAAAAATAAAGTAAATTAAATAAAAAAAATAAATAATAAAAAATAAAAAAACAAACCTATCAAATATTAAATTAGTTATTACATAATAATAAATTTTTTTTTTAGATTATTAGGTTCACCAAAATTTAGCAAATTGGCCCGAATTTAGGTCAGAATAGGCTAGAATTAATAAATTTTTTCTAAAATTACACAAAATTTTACTAATAAAGTGGCAGTCTTTATACTAAATAAAGCTGCCCAAATAATAATTTTGCTACAATATAGTCAGTCAGTATTATTGCTTAATGCTACTTTGCTCTAGTCTATCTCTGAGCCCAAATTCAGGCCAATTTGCTGAATTTTGGCTACTAATCTATTCTTTTTATATGAACCACGATAAAATAAATGAAGATAATAGTATAATAAATAATACAGG